GGGGGAGAGATTGCCGGGATGACTGTTTACTCGTAACCTAAGGGGAAGGATAGGGGGGGCCATTTGCCTGAGTGGCCGTTTATTGGGGGCGTTTGACTGGGCGGTGACTGGGCATAACTGGGTACCTTCTCGTCCTCGTAGGCTGGCCCGTGGTCCCTAAAGTGTCCCCGTTGGAGGTGCCCAATCCAACACTGGCACTTCATGGGGATCGGCAAGCACGGCATGGGAACCTTGAAAGTCAAAAGATCAATGCCCTTTCGGCAGGCGTGTCGACCTCTGGGATTGGACGTCGTGGGGCATCTACTTGATCGACCTAGCCTGCTGGCCTCTCGATACTGTTGATCCTGTTGATCGTATCGCTCTTTGGGAACGGGTTGGCCAAAATATTTCTTCTTGTCAGTTCGGGTGGCACAGTCTTGCCAGTCTCACTTTTAGCGTTTAGACCATGGGAATTTTCGCTTTTCCATGCCCTTCCCCTGTTGACCTTGGCCTGATCCCTGGCCATCTGCCATATCAAGATGCGCTATGACGTTTTCGTGCAAGATGCTCCAGCACTAGCATCAAGCCACCACGCTGCAAGCCACTGCAGATGAAGGTTCCAAAAGGAAAAGGATTCAGAACCCAAAAAAGGCCAAAACCCTCTCCCCTTTATTCTAAATCCACCTTGTAGGATACATCTGCATTAGGATTGACTCGATCAAAAGTGGTGTGATTCGTGGGTCTGACATGACATCCTCCATCACTGATGCTGATGGGCCGAATATTAAAAATACACCGCTCAGTGTTACAACAGCAAACCACCCTGGCTTCTTTCCCGACCCTGTGAATTGACTAAAACAAGTCCATACCCGCTGACCTCTACCATCGCTCCAATGCACATTGAATCTCTTTTCATGACACGTTCAATCCGCTGAGTAGGGAATCCCCAGCATTTCCGTCTTTGTACTACAGTGCTGTTGTCCCACCGTCAACCAGGATATGCAGTTGGCTTGGCCACGAGTGGCGCCATCTTCTCTCGCTGCAACTTCTCTCTCTCCATTTGTGCTCGGTCGTCCTTTGTGATTCGAGGCTTTCGAGTAACACCTCCTCCCCGGGATCCAGGCCCTCCACCCCTGCCAGAGGCTCTTTCGGAAGCCGCAGCGGCTACTCTGCCGCCACGAGAACCAGGACCACCACCCCGGCCTCGCCCGCGACCCCGCTTGATCGTGCCATCCGCCCTGTATTAATGTCAGTCAGTGCATTGTGGGGAATCTGGATCAACAGGTATACATACCTCTCAACAGCCGGCTTTTCCCCCTCTGGTACAAGCGGTCCACAATAGACAAAGAATCCATCCTTACTGGCCGCTGCTTGTGCTTCCCAGAGTAGCTCGCTGTCGTCCACGAAAGGATCGTCCTGGTCGTACTCCTCTACCTTTCTTCGCCGTCGACGTTTGGGGCCTGGGCCATCGGTGCCGCTGTTAGGTTGTTCTTGTCCGCCATTGACTCCAGACATCGCGACGTCTCCGTCGTTGTCTGAGTCACGCTCGATGTCCACGCTGAGGTCTTCATCGCCACTGTCTCCAGCTGACGTGCCTCCAAACTTGCTGCCAGATGCTGACCGTTCTAACGCTGCACCGGCAGCAGCAATCTTGGCCAGCCGTTCTTTTTGGGCAGCTTGACGAGGGTATAGGGCCGCGAACCCATATTTCTCTTCGGCCATACGGGCAAAGTTGATGACTCGATTACCAGGATCCTTCAAGTCAATATGCAGGACGATGTTGGGTCCTTTTTCTGAGTCTTTTGGCATATCGCTGCTCGAATCCCCACCAAAGAGACTGGCCGAGAGAAGTCCAGACCCAATTGGTGGTGGAGGCGGCTGCTCTTTAGCCCGAGCCGGCTTCGGGGACGTTGGGCGAGTGGACGCTTCCGATGGCACTTTTCGTGAAGAGGCGAGCTTTTTGGGTTGCCCTTGGTCTGACATGATGTGATCTACCTCCATCGCTGATGAGCCGTTGACTCTTGGCGACTCGGCCACCCTGCCATTGGTTTGACTGTGGGTAGGCTCCGTCTTCACCTGATGCGTAACCACGGTCGTAGCAGTCGAGGTGTCGGAATGCGGATGCGGATGGTGATCAATGATGCTGGAGATGGTTGGAGAGGTACTAGGGTTATCGGATCTTCTTGGAGGAGTAGCAGCGGGCCGTGCGAGAGGTGGAGCGGGAGGGTTGGTGTCGACAGGTCGCTGTACGGATCTGATGGGATCGTACATGCTAGTTGCGCGAGGAGGGGAGGAGTGAGAAGGAAGAGGAGGAGTCGGCGGCGGTGGTGGGGCGTGCTGTTTGCTCCCATATTCACGTGGTTTATATTCATAGATCCTCTGAGGGGATGTGCGGGCACGCAACGGTTGGTTGTGCATCGTGAGGCCAGATTCGGAAAACTTGGCGGCTTCATCTCGGCGGCTCTCGGTCGCATCTGGAGGGGAGAACTGAACTGGTTGGACCAGAGTAGAGGCCTGCAGACCTGCACTCTGGGACCGAGGCATGATGACGATGCTGCCTTGATCTGGCGGCTCTATTTTGGTTTTCTTGCGTACACCTGTAGCTGTGGGGGCTGTTCCACGGGGCTTACGAGGAACTCGCGGTTTCTTCTCTTCAGGCGTGTTGGGATCGCGCTTCTTTCGTGGTCTTTTGACAGGCTGCGCTGGTGGTGGTGCTGCGCCGTTGTCTTGGCGTGCACCTGCAGCTGTGGCTGGTGAGGTACTGACACCTGCACCGGGGCTCGGTTGGGTCTGTCGCGCGCTGCAGCTGTTTGTAACACCAAGATTGCCTGCTAGGCCTAAGTCGCGATGCGCAGGGTGATAATTCGGAGGTCCGGGAGTGCTCTCAGCATCGCTCGGGGGTGCGCTGGATAAGTCGTTAGATGAACTCCTGGTGTCACGCACTTCCATTTTCAGCTCTTCAGCCTCCACAATCAAGTGCACAACCGAAACCGCAGGCTCACACCCGCGCCATCAAAAGAAGCTCGGGAGTTGTAAAGTGCGTGTGCAAGTGACGGAGATGATTAGGAAAAGGCGATGATGTCGATAACCGGAATCACAATTGATGAATTATTGGAACCGACGATGATGAGGGTCAAAGAGTTGAACAATTAAAGAGTTGATAACTAGGACGTTATACAAAGAGATAATTTGAAGGACGGGGTTGAGCGGTGACGGTGATGGTGACGGGTGTGAATTTGACTGCACAACCTCAAAAGGGTTGTGGAAAACACCGGCTGGAATGGGAAATGTGTAAAGGCGGCTTAGCGGCGAGGATTTGCAATGGTGCAGTGGTGAATGCGGCGGATGGAGCGGACTAGGGAACTTCAAAATTAGAGAAGTAGCAGTGTAGCATGTCCTGGCGTAAAAATCACTCGGACCGATGTGCAAGAAGGTAAAGGAGGAGAGAAAAAGGTCGAGGAGGGAAAGGCTCAGAAGTGGGAAGATAGGAAGATATATGTATGAACCCCGGAGAACAAAACAGCTTACAGGGCTCTTGACAAAGGGTAAAAAAGATTGGGATGGCGAGGGGGGATGATGGGTCGCGAGATGAATGGGAAGGCAACAAAAACCCAGACGGACAGACTACAGCTTGTGACAGAAATGGGAAGAGTGGATAGCAAAACGTAAAATCACCACCCAGGCAGGCCAGGGCAGAGTTGGGAGGCTAGACCTGGGGGACTTGGACGGGTGTCGAGAAGTAGGCGGAAGCACGACGAGGAGGAACGGGGAAGAGAGACGAGAGAGGGAGAGAGGGGACCAGCAAACAACAGAGAAGCAGCGCATGCGGAAAGCAAGGGAGACCGGACCAGGTGAGAGAGAGTGAAATGAGTCTGGTGAGGCGTCGTGGGCGTGTAAGAGAAGACGAAGCCATTCGAGACTAGACCAGCGCAAAGACCACAGAGCAGCAAAAGGGTAAATGGGAAAAGTAGCAGTGATGGTGGTGACAGTGGTGGCAGTAGTCATGAGTCGTGGCAGACAAGGGCCATGGAAAGAAGATCTTCGACTAGGTGACTAGCTGGACTAGCTGGCTAGGAGTAGTAGCAGGAGCAGGTAAACTCGGTCACAGATGGTGGAGAGAGGGTTGGGTCTCGGTTCCTGGATAACGCAAGTAGTATCGACAAAAAAATCTGAAAAATCCTAATGTAGAAAATCAATGGGGGGAACAAATGACGGGCAAAAGACAGTGGCTAACGGTGAGGCAAGCCGTGGGCAAGGGGCTACAACTAGCCGGTCAGGCATCCTGTCATGACGATCACTTTATTGGCTTGTTGTGTCTTGTTCAACAGTGGTGAGGTGGCTTTCTAGCCCAAACCCGGAGTCCGCCTCAGTACGAGTAGTTCCAGTAGCTGATCTCCTCGACGTTTCATGAATTGATCCCACTCCCCGAAAACACCAAACAGACTCGGTCACGCCGAAGACGACTGCAAGTTCATCACTCCGCATAGTAGTGCCTCTGCCTCTGCAGGTTTACCTCCCTCACCCTTGACAAGCCCTATCCACTTCCAACTACTCGTCGAACTCGATCCTCTCGGAAAAGAAAACCCCCAAGATCGGATACACCAGTTAGACCCACCTGGGGGCTTACCAGATCCTAGACCCCTGCTACGAAGTACAGACCTTGCAGCTAGTGGCTTGAGCCAAGTTCGGCTATTCCACTCCGCACCGCATGATCTGATATATCGTTGTCTCCCCTCAGGAAGCCTTCTAGCCAATGGTATTCAGGATCTAGCATCATATCACCAGTCACCCCTGGAAAGATTGCAGTTGGCTCTGCGCCTTGAAAGAGCGAGGGTAGCACACCGCACACTCCACGAAGCTGTGCTACATACGAGTACCTCGCCAAAAGAATGTCATTGGTCTGATTGACAACGCCTTTGGCTAGACCGCATTGAGGGTGAGCAGCTTTTCTAGTGTCGACTAATAACAAGCTCGCCGAGGGGCACTGCGCGGCTGCAGCCATCAACACCTTTTCTTCCAATATGGCCATCCCAGGTCAACGGTTTGAATTAGATCTCGACGCAGATGAATTTACAATCAGGCCAGTTGACGTTGACGTTGACGATGACCAACGGACACTCCCGACGCGGCCTCCTGGCTTCAGCATCAAGGAGATCCAAGAGCACGATTCGGACTCTGTTCCTTCTGCCCCGTCGCTGAAATCCTCCAAAGCTGGATTCCCCGAGCACAAACCACGCCGCAACGTGTCTGCTTTCAAACAAAGACAGCAGGCTGGAAAGGCGCCATCTCGTTCCTCCCTCCCTACCACAGTCGAACCCTCAGACCAAGCCATCAGACATCATGTGGGCAAGAAGTATGGGATCGACATGGACCAGCAGCAGAAGGCCGATATCAGCGAGGAGAACAAGAGGCGGATAGCACAAATGTCGATAGAGGACATTGAGGAGGCTCGAGCCGAGCTAACACAAAATCTCAACCCTGCTTTTTTGGAGCGGCTACTCAAACGTGCTAATATTGAGGAAGATCAAGCCAATCAAAAGCTTTGGCCTGAGGGCGATGCGGAAGGGGAAGATGATAGCCGAAGATCTAGACATAACGCCGTGACTGAGATGCCCATAGACGAAGATATTGTGGAACCTGAAAGATCCGCAGCGCCGCCTCCTCCCTCGACACATTTTCCCGTCCCTCCTCGGTCAGCAAACGACTATGTACCTCTAAACACTGACGGCGCCTCCTTCCTCGCCGATCTCAAAACACATTACTTTCCAGACACTCCCCACGACCCGTCATCGTTGAGCTGGCTACAGGACCCGACCGAGGAGGAGGACCAAGCGTCATTGTATAACCCTGAAAACGAATCATATCTAGCTTCTGCCCTCCGCTTCGGATTCAACGGCCGTCTGATCCCGCCAAAGGAGAGTTTGGAGCTCGACGTGAAAGAAGGGCTACACCATCACGGTGATGCGCCGAGCAGCGCCGGATACACTATACCAGAGCTCGCATTGCTTGCACGATCGACCTTGCCGAACCAGCGATGCATGGCTTATCAAACACTAGGTAGGATCCTGTACAGACTGGGGAGGGGGAATTTTGGCGCCAGAGGCAGCGAACTCCAGGAAGCGCTCTGGTCGGTGATTGAGAAAGAGAGGCCGATAGAGGTCATGATGAGCGAGGCCAACCGTCAGTCGGGACATGCCAGTGCCAAAGCGCTTGCGGTCGAAGCGCTGTGGTTGTGGAGAAAAGGTGGCGGTGGTGATCGGGGGGTTTTGAAGCCCGGTCAGCGGCTGGCAAAATGACAGGTCTGTTGGGGAGCAATACGTGGTCGAAAGCATATGATATTACATCAAGGTCTATTGTGACTTTCATTTGGCGACAGATCAATTGCCGAGCTGAAAGAACATGGTAGGTGCAAAGATGATGCCTGGGGTGAGGCTTCAACCTGGGCAGGGAATTTTCCAAAAAGCTTTAGCCAATGCGTACCCGTGCCCCTTTTTGCGAATTCAAGTTCGTCAATGCGAGTTGGAGGAATGTGACGACGAGCTTGCCTTTGCAAATACTTACAAAGGCCACGAGATGCGTATCGATAGATGGATGAATGCAAGGATGTACGTCTGATAGATCCTTTTACCTTTTTCGTGTCCAAGATTTTGGGATTTCAATGCACATTTAGATTCATATTCAGATATATATATATATATATATCTAGTCTCTCTCCCTGCCTCGAGCCTCGCACGCCCACGCCCACGCGCACTCTTACTCTCGCTCTCGCTCTGGCTCTGGTCCTGGCTCTCGGCTTGCTTACCTACTGACTTACTTCTCGACATACCACGACAAATCGACCCCGTCCTCGAGCTCGTACTGCGTGAAGCCGTTGCCCATGAACCGGAAGCGGTTGGGCGAGCGGTACCGGATGTCAAAGTCCTCGGGCCGGATGCGCTCGACCATGTCGTGGAAGAGCATGGCGCTGCCGGCAAAGGTGGCCGTCACGCGCCCGTCGATCCGGTTGTTCTTGTACCAGGAGCGACCTGTCACATACCAAGGGTCAGGAGACATAACACGTAGACAGAGACAGACAGAGAAAGAGGGAGAGGGAGAGGGGAGAAACTCACAGTTCCCCGTCCACGTCAGCGTCTTCATAATCTCATCCCCGTACCGCACCAGCTCGTCCACGACCCGCTGGTGCGGCGCGACCGACGCAATGTCCTCGCGCGCCATCTTGCGCAGCCACTGGATCATCCACTCGGCCGTCCAGTCCAGGCTGTAGATGAGCGAGCCGTGGCCGATGGTGGCGTTGGGACCCATGAACATGAAGTAGTTGGGCATGTCGGGACAGGCCATGGACTAATTCGTACGCAAAAGGTCAGTCAGGGAGTTCGTCGCCCAGTTTCCCTTTTGTTCTGGGGTTTGGGGAGGATCAGGGTTCTAAGAGGGGGGGAGATGGGATCGTCTTCTCCGAGATGATATTCTTCTTCCTTTCCGAGGGCAGACAAAACTCACCAGATACGACTCAGGCTCGTCCTTCCACTTCTCTCCCAGGTCGATGCCGTTGCGCCCAACGACGGGAAACGGTGGCCGGTTGGAAACGTCAAAGCCAGTCGCGCAGATGACGACGTCCAACTCGTAGTACTGGCCGTCTTTGGTCTTGATGCCGCCTTGGTCGATGTAATCGATGTGGCTCTGGGTGAGGTACACGTTGTCCCTGGTAAAAGACTCGAGGTAGCCCGCGCCCGGGGTGATTCTGCGGCAGCCGACCTCAAAGTCCGGGATGAGCATCTTGCACAGGCGCGGGTCGTGGTTCAGCTTGGCCGCCATCTGCGCCGTGGCAAAGGCCTTGATCTCCTCCTGCTGCTTGGAGCCCTTGCCGAAGATGCGGAACCCGCGGTTGACGTTGCCGATGATGAGCTTGCGGTACTTTTTGAGCTCCTCCGGGTCGCGGAACCGCTGCTTGTCCACCTCGCGGTACTCCGGGTTGTAGCTGGGGTCGTCGCTGCCCACAAGCTTCGCGGGCGTGTGGCGAGAGACGACCCACGTCGGCGACCGCTGGAAGCACGTCACCTTGGTGCCCTCCAGCTTGGCCATCTCCGGCAGAATCTGGATGGCGCTGCTTCCGTTCCCGATCAGGCCGATTCTCTTGTTGCGGTAGTCATATTCGTGATTCCAGCCGGCGCTGTGGACCTTGAGACCCTTGAAGCTGTGCAGTCCGGGAATGTCGGGCCACTTCCAGTGACTCAGGATGCCCCTGGCGGAGATCAGGACGTCGGCCCATTCTGTCCGATGGCCAGTGTCCTTGTGCCGCACCTCGAGCTTCCACTGAGCTTTGTCCTCGTCCCACTGGGCATGCTCGACGGTGGTGTTGAACTGGACGTCCCGATCCAGCTTCCACTCGTCGACCGTCTTCTGGAAATACTCCTTGATCTCGGGCCCCGTCGAGTAGAAATGCGACCACTCGGGGTTCGGGGCGAAGGGGAAGACGTAGATGTGGCTCGGCACGTCGCATTGCACGCCAGGGTAACTGTTTGCAATCCAGGTGCCGCCGGCGTTGGACTTGCTCTCGAAGATGGTGTGTTCGACGAGTGTGTCAAACTCTTTGGCGTAGGTGTATTGGAGCTTGTGGGCAAAGATCATGCCCGAGTAACCCGCCCCGATGGTCACGACACGGAGCTTCTTGCTGGGCGTAAAGGCCGGCACATTATGCATCGGTATCGTGATTGAGTCTTGAGCATGGGAGTGCCCATTGGCAACATCCGCGGCCCGAGGGGCTGAACCGTCATGGCTTCCATCTTCCTTGCCTGGGACCGGTGCTGAAGGGAGGGTGGTGGTGGTGGTGGTGGTTTCGCCAACAGATCCCATGTTGTTTCCTCGTATATAAGATCCCTGTGACAGACAAGTCAGGGAACTCTCAAGGATAGAACTTGAGGATAGTGATAACAGGCGAATCTGGTCAAATAAAAGCCCATCTTCAACGCGCGTTGGTCAATCTGCCGAACTGCCGGCTAATCGGTTGATGGTGATGATCGGTGTTGGAGAAAGTTGCGGAGTCCTCTACCGTGGTTCATGTGGTAAAGGATGGAGAATGACAATGAGATTTTCGGTTCTGGTTCTTTCTGCGGCAGTGAGGCTTCAGTCTTTACCGTGGCTGTTTGTTCCAGGCAAGCAGTTGGATGGGGGTCCCCATCTTCGGATGATTATCTGATGACGGTAAAAGGCCGGTTAAAGGCCACAGTACGTGAGGCTGACTTATACATACAACTCTGCCGGCTAGACACTCTTTCTCTCTCATTGTTATATTACGAGTTGAATAATCTGACACAAGTACGCGGCAGCCTCATCATTTATCCACGTCTCATGGATCCAAATAGTAGTGTGAGAGGGAGTCAAATGGTATAGCAAGGGACCAGCCACTCAGGCCACCCGTCGTGGGGTCACACCCCTTCGCCAGTATTATGGAATCACAAATCTGTCTTAGAACCACAATGTGCGATATAGGCGATAATCTGTAGAGTGGTATGAAGCAATCTCACTGACCTTCGCCTAGTGACTCCATCCATGATACCTAGGGTCGAGGTAGATTAGGAATCAGGCTGTCCTCGTCCGTGTTCCTTGCGAGAAAGCACAAGTCGTGCTATTTACCAATAGGATAGATATAAGACGAAAACCATGGCTGGTTTTCCATCCTACTTCCTGCCTCGAACAGGCGTCGTAGTCGTACACTGACGCAGAATCCAGAGCTCTTTGTCCGGCTTTGTTAGAAGACCCAATATCGACACCTGAAACCAAACACATCATGTCTCCAAGGAAACGCACAGTCCTCATCACAGGATGCTCGGATGGCGGCCTCGGTGCCGCTCTCGCCCTGGCCTTCCACAAACGTGGCGACCGCGTATTTGCAACCACACGCACTCCCTCGAAAATGTCGTCCTTGGCTGCCGTTGGAATCGAAACCCTGCCCTTAGATGTCCTCTCCGAAGAGTCCATCAAATCCTGTGTGGAAAAGGTGTCATCCCTAACTCATGGTTCACTGGACATATTGATCAACAACGCCGGGGCCGGATTGAATATGCCCGTCCTTGACGTTTCGATCGCCGATATCCAAAAACAGTTCGATATCAACGTGTTGGGCGCGATCCGGATGATACAGCTGTTTTTCCCGCTGCTTCGCAATTCGACGGCGGAGCGCAAGATGATTGTCAACAACAGCTCCTGTGTCTCGGTTTTAGCCCTGCCGTTCACGGGACCATACTCGGCTTCCAAAGCTGCGCTTGCCAACTTCAGCGAAATACTGCGGCTTGAACTGCAACCATTTGGTATCAAGGTCGTTGATTTGCGCACCGGAGGCGTGAGGTCGAATTTCTTCGACAACGCCAATAGCGGTATGAGTACCAACTTACCTGAGACCAGCCCGTACGCGCCTGGCAAGGCCGCTGTGGACAAGTTTCTCCGTCACGGCCCGGCATCGAGTCTCACGAAAGCAGTCGTCTGGGCCGACAAAGTGGTGAGGGATTTATCCAAGCGCGGCGGGAAAGGAGCCCCGCATCAAATCTGGAGAGGGGAGGGAGCAACGTTCGCATGGCTCAATGCAACAGTATTTCCTGTGGGATGGCTGGATAGCTTGTCGAAGAAGCTTACTGGATTAGATGTGGTGGAGAGCAGGATTAAGGGGGGGAAGGCGAAGGTGGTATGAAGGGTTGAGTAGAAGCCCGCCCCGTTTGTAGCCGCCTCTGGAGACAGCAGGAGGCATGACAGGAACAGGAATGTGTCGGGCAGTGTTGAGTGGCTGCTTCCAGACCTCACAGAACACTACCTGGAAGTTGTATGTCGTCAATATTATGTGCGGTCCACCATCTCTTGTATACAAGCGCATCAAGTAGGTGGATTCACTCAGCCTCGTTCCAAGAAAACCCTTGGTCCTGTGATGTTTGTACCAGTAGCGAGATCATGTGGTACTTGAACTAGCGAGGTCGTCTTGGCTAGATTGATCGGGTTTGGAGGAAGGGAGGTGGCTTTGCTCAAGATCCATTTGCATACTGGACCCTATACCTCGGATGTTTTCAATCCACAACGGTAACGTGATGAGCCGGTGAGGGGAGAACATTCGCTGCCTAAGCGTGCTAGAGCAAGCGTGGGTGACGACCACAGTCGAAGATCCAATTCCGAGCGTTCGGGGAGCGTCGCAGGAATTCTACACGGCATGGCCATCGATCTACTCGGTCAGAAGTAGATAGTCGATGATCACGGTCCGTTTTTGGAGGGTAGGGGGATAGCAGGCATGATAGCAGCCCTGCCTGCTATGCTTTAG